CCCCCCCTCCAAAGCGTAGCTACGTATATCAATTGTGTTCAGGGATGCAATTTTTTTCCTTCTCATTTTTTTTCGTTTTCGGCTTTTTTTTGCGTTCACGGTGCATCCACGCCCAGAACGTGAGGCGGAATGAAAATAGAACGGTAACGTTGAAAAAATGATGGAAGCTTCGGCTACGCCCCGTGGAATTCGAATCGAGGGAGATCTTTCGTAGTTTGCCGAAGCGCAACGAGTCCACGCGTTCTCTGTTTATCATTGGAGATAAAACGAATAAATTTTACCTTTCCTCGTCCTCTCCCTCATCTGCTGGCGGATGAACGACCGAGCGACCATCACCTACTGTACCATCCTCTTCCTCCCCTTCTCTGTCATTCAAACCCTTCGGTATCCCTTTTACTCGGTGCACTCAAAACCCTTATGGAGTATTAATACAACCCTTTTTGGATTTCGACGATGAGAAGTTTGAACGTCAAATTTGTTGGGATTTTTTTCAAAATTAATTTTTGATTTGTCGCATTTTTTTGAAGAAAACAAATTAAATTTTGAGAAAAAAATTGCATAGTTAATAAATCCGAGTATTGTGGTATTTTGAATAGTGTATGTTGAATTTTGAAAAATGTAGTTAGGCATACTCAAAAAAAAGTGGACTCGCATCAGTCCCTTGGCAGATAATTAAAAATAATCCCAGCGGTCTGCTGTTTACTCCTTTTTCGCAGCTCATTAAATCGACCATAAATTTTGCTTCGGAAATTACAAGGAGGACCCCCGAATATCAGAGAGCGCGAGACCGAGCGGCATAATAAGCAATTTGTAATCAAGAGGCGTCGCTCGAGTGTTAGTTAGTAAGAAATCCAATAGAACTCCTGTACTCCATAGTCTGCAGTATCTTCTACTCGCCGGTCGCAGTAGCAGGCTGCTATAGCAGGGTAAAAAGAATTGCAAATATCCTAATTAGCATTGTCCCAGCTACTTTTAATCATTGTACCAATCTACTCTCGACATACTCACTCGTCCATATAATTCATTGGAATCATAACAGAGAATTGATGCAATCTCTCATTTAAATATATATATGCCCCTTTGATTACCATGTTGAGAATCGTTATGTTATTTACGTAGCTTATCCTATACCTATAAACATACGTAAATTCGCCACAACTTTTCTGTAATTTCGCAAGACACAAAAGGAAGATAAAGAAAAAATGTATGTGAATTAATTATTTTCTACGACAAAGAATGAAAAAAAGTGAAGAAAGTGATGAAAGCTTTTACAGAAGGTCTTAACCAGAAAACACGCAGATCCCGCAAGCTCTCATGCTAATCGCAGGTAGAATAATTGCGAATGGACTTTGCCATATTTTTCTTTCGTTCTACTCCCCCCTTTCCCCCTTTTCGCCCTCTTCCAATGCTTTCCTGCCACTTTTTTTTATACTCTGGGAATTATCGCATTGACGGAACTCGTGGCGCAGCGACTCGTTCTCGCGCTTTCAATTTACACGACTCGCGCACGTCAAGCTTTTCTCATTTTGTCACCACGTGCATACCGACATGCGAAAATTTTGCAAAGTTACAATAAGCCCATACAGGCAATCCTTTAAATCGCAGGGACGTTGCGTTAGTGGAAACGAAAACATTGGATGCTGACAAATTTTAAAATTAGATATATATATATATGCAAATTAAATAAAATCGTTGAACCTTGTCGACTTGAATAGGCGACTTGTTACACATAGAGAAAATTCAACCAGCCCAGGTCCACATTAACTGTATTAATAAACAGTATTAGCGAAACACTAAAGTGCTTTCAACGCGATGTGTCTATTCTGACTTCTCTAATATGACAAATACACAGCAATTTACTGTGCATTAACGTCGTTCTTGCGTTCATTCAAACTGGAATCGTCCACGGCTACGTAAAATCAGGTACCCAGATCGATCATACTCTGCAGAGTGTATAACCCCCGGAACGTTAATATAAAAATTACTAAATTTTCAGCCACGTGGATACTTGATTCCGAATTATGCTTATAACGTAAACCTTGTATATATAAATAATATAAATATATATCCGTATAAAAATTCGGTAACATTACAGAAGGTCGCGCAAAGATCCATCTGCTGTTAAAAAGCTCACGGTAGAACGGACGATTCCAGAAAGTCGAAAAGACTCGGAATCCGTGATCTCGAAGGAACCTAATTAACTTGGCACTTTGAAATTAAATTATTTTTATGGCGTCGTAGGGGAAAAAAGGTAGACACGTAGAAGGAACTGGCACTGAGAGTGAGTGGACGAGTGAGTGAGAGGCTAGATCAGAGGGTGGGCTGGTTGGAGTAAGAGGGATAAAGTAAGATAATAAAGCGAGTAAAGAGAGTAAGGAGGGTTGAGATCGAGGGTGAGGATAGAGAGTGGCAAAGGGGGGAAAGGAGTTCGTTGAAACTACCAAACTACTTTTCAAGCTGCCCCCGCGGCCTGGCAAGATTATAATTAAAACGTCGTAGCACGGGATAATAAATTAATGCATAATTAACATAGCTAATTATAATACTGGCAGAATTTTTCGTAACTCGAACACACCGGCTCGCATGCGGAGGCAGAGCAGCTCGGTAATTTATGATCGGACATGAAAAATTACCGTCTCGGGGGGGTTTAATCATCCTCGGACCCCGACCTACTCCGCTACGCCACTCCGTTTCAGCTCAACCTCCTCATCCTATACCTTCGTCGGGCATACCTACTGCTGCTGGTGCATCCACCTTTTATACCTTGTATATACACTGACACCCACCTTCTCAACCTTGATCGCGACCAGACTTAATAACTTATTATAATTCCCAAAGACCGATACACATGCGGACCGCCGCCGCAGTGGATACATTGAAAACGCGAACACGCAAGTATCCAGCGAAGGAGGTACGAAAAATGTATATTAGGTAAATGGAATAACACGACCGAATCTCGTGACTGGTTATTGCCATACTAAAAGTTTGCATGATAAAGTGATTATTAGGAATCTTTATTGTAATCGGGTTTTATTTAAGGTGAAATTTGTCTTGGATTGTCTGGGTTTTTTTTTGCGGTAGTATTGTTACCCAGTGACGTAATTTTTATTCCGGCTCGTTTATCGTCTGGAGATTCAGCGTTGGCTCTCCTGCGGTCTTTGTGTTTTAATTCATTAGTTATTCCATTTTATCAACAATTAGGTCTACATGCGAGGCCTCATTATAACGAAACTCCATTATAAAGTAATTATATTTTATAACGAGTTGTTTTTGTTGTTGTATTTTTTTGCCACCCCACGCACCCCCTTTTAGTCCTTTTCGCGAGGCGCGTCGTGCGCGCGCTATACAGTCTGGTTATAGCGTTAATACAAGTCGTGATAAATTAAATGTTTATATGTCGAAATTTTTTTTATTCACCAGTAGAGGGTTGGAGTAGGGATGACACGGGGTGGTTACGCGTCCTGATGCGAACGGCATTCCCGTCGACGTCACTTCAAGTCTCGCACTTTTTTAACGTATTTCACATCGTTATTTTTGTATTTTCACCGGCGAATGAGCTCTCGCAGCTACTCGACTTAATGAGCTCATTAAGATGGTAATTTTAATTCCTCCCTACGTTAATCGTATAACGATCACTGCTGAAGAATCCTTCGTTATTCACACGGGGCTACGCCATTGGCTTAATGATAAGAATGCTGGCATTTTATCTGATCTGTGAGAATGTGTACGTCGGTAGGTAAACCCAAAAGAGAGGCAATATAATTTTTTCAAAATTTTAACAGTGATTTTTTTTAGTGAAATTTTGTAATTCGCCCCATTTTTGGTTTTAATAATTTATACATACCACGAGAACTGGTTTAACGTTCACGTTCAAATGTTCTAATTACTATCACCTGTAATTTTTTTTTTTGCGAATTAGGTAAAATTTCTATTATTACTTTAAGGCGGTAAGAATTGATGGACCCTGACAATTACAAAGGCATTCACGGCAGGATCAATGGCTCTGTCGTGAACGTTTCTGCACTGAAGTCAAAAGCTATTGAGCTCGCTTAGGCAGGAATATCGCAAATGCAAATGCGTCGTAGTCATTTGTCCGCGTTATCCGTGCGACTGGTTCCTCCCAGTGCCGTTCCAGGCTCCGAAGCACCGTACCGAAAATGCAGACAAATGAGTTAAAAAACGCGGCCACGTCGGCCGCGATTTGACATTGTCGAAAGTTAATCAATGGCCAAACTGTTCGGGCTAGGGTCCGCAGAATAGGAGAGAGAAAGCGCGCGCACATCGTATCGTCAATTTTTTAAAATTAAATCACTATCTGTCCTAGTTAAACGCGTTTCCCGAGCGTTCCAACAGTACTGCACCTAATGACAGACAGTTGCCGGTTAAAAAGTGTGTAAATCCGTGAACGCGAGAGAACCGCCATCCGAATCGACGCCAACGTCGTTTTACTCGCCATGGCAACCCGATCTCTACCCGTACCGGTAAAAAGTACCGGAATAAAAATAATGGCTAGGAATGCAGATTGCCCCTCATTTTTTTCTATTAACCCGAACTTAAAAACGTGTCGTTGCGTTACTCAAAATTTTTTTTCCAATACAGTCACAGCGTCAAACTTCAACGGGGGGAACGTTTCAACGAGCGAATTTGAAAAATCTTGTTTCCCGCAAGTGGCTGCACATTGTACCCTTTTTTTTTTCACTGCCACCCTGTATTTCGCGTGTTATAGTATATCGCGCAATAGCCCGACACACAGTTGCATTTTAGTACAGTGAAATCTGCTAAAGCTTTTCTATAGGCTTGTTTCGCGTCTGTCCCCCTAGTGAAAAATAAAAAGCCGTTTGCTTCGCTGAAACGCTCTCCGCCATCCCTTTCCTCTCTCGCGTATTCTCCACACTTTGCCAAAGCTCATTCGTATGCGGACGTTGAAAAAAACTGAGACGCAATGTTTCGCCTTTCGTTGAAGTGGGCTGAACCAAAAAGAGAATGCGGACATTATGCACAATTAATGTCAGTCAAGCATACTTATGTGTGCCGTTATGCTCGCAATGTTTATGTATTCCCGTGAGGTTATATTATGCGTTCGAATACATCTTCCGTAATCGTATACGGTGAGGCCAGTCTTATGAGTGGCTACTGGAACCTCGGTAAATTCCGTATCGCGGGCAAAAGAAACTGCATATCTTATGCAGATAAAGTACCTTGTACGTAGCGAATAAAATTGTGCGAAAAATGGGTATAAAAAATATCGATTAAATATTTTTGTCGCGATTTTTTTTTTTTCGAATCGCATCCTTTTTTCTCGTCGCTTTGAATTTTCATAAATGGTGAAAAATATTTTTTTTTCAATTAAAAAAAAGTTCTCATGGAAATCTCGTCATGCGTTTCTATTCGGCGGGCCAGTCGTAAGTATGCAAAGTGCAGTTTGTCGCTGGTGAAGACAAGTCGGCGACAATGAATCTCACGAGCCTGAAGGTTGAATGTCGCGTCGCTCGGAAGGCAAATCTGATTGGCTCATGAATATTAAGTTCGGCCCGCAATTATTATCTGCGTTATAAATCGGGCGCAAGTTGCTTCGCCTGCTTCGGTAGTGGTCGAGCTGCGTTATTATCCTGCCGATGGATACACAGATACACTGTCCAATATGCACTTTGTGCATATGTGCAACACGTGCATACGAAGGGACCAGAGAGTGTACCGCGAGTGCACGTAACACGAGGAACTGTGCTAGTCTGTATTTCACTGCGATTATTTTCAACTGGTGATTGCTAATCTCGTTTTTGTTAATTATAATTAATGCCTTTCGTACAAAATGCATCCTACAATTGCATTTTGTCTATGAAGAATAAAACGAAGCACGCCGTCTATTAAGAATTAATTTCTTACCTGCAATATTTGTGTGCAGCTAAAAATTGGTATATCGACCATTAGGTAATCGTGATAATGTAATTGATTTGAATTTTGAAAAAAAAAAAAAAAAAAAAAAAAAAAAAAAAAAAAAAAAAAAAAAAAAAAAAAAAAAAATTTTGCCAACAAAAATGACGAACGAAGGGACACCGATTGATATGCAGAATCCCATTTTCACATGCATTAGGGACTCGCGTCACATTATCATCGGCATTTGGGCCCGAAGTTCGGTCGCAGCATCTAGTGCAGCAGCTACTGCAGGATGCACCCGCGGCAATGTGCCTCATTAAAATATGCAAATACAGTTGGGTCGTCCGTTCTGGCGTTCTTCGCGTTACCCCGTGCGTTGCGTCGAAATGTTTACGATCACGGTGAAATTAAAAGTACCGCTAAAATACTGCCTCTAATACGTATGTGATGCTGCCTGGCGAAAGACTGGCTGACTGCCTGTTGCCTTCTTGCATTTCTGTCTAACTACCTATATACGTAATGTATATACGTATATATACAATATACAGGTATTTATACCTACAGAGGCGTAAGGACGATCTTCGAATAAAAGAGAAGGGTGCGACCTGCATAGGATTCACCGCACAACTCTGTAACGGTGATTCATCAGCGACTCTAAGGCTGGTGCACAATTATACCATGTCCCCTAAGTAATAACACAGTAATAATACTAATAGGCATAACGAATGAGGAAAAATGGAAAAAACCTAAAAAGGACATGCGAAGAAGAAATTCAAATTTGAATACGAACGTCAGTCAAATATTTTCAAAAGTGGATGAGATTTTTTTTTTTTTTTTTTAAATGCGATAAATAAATGTTGGTGACGGCCGGATAATTAAAAATGTTAAATTTAGCAAAGGCGCAACTTACTATCTGATACAGATTTGCTTATACAGGGAGAGCGATGATTTTTATGATCGCGATATTCGCTAACGAGTAGCCCCGCGCCTATCACGTCGCCTTATGCGGCGATAATTCTTCATTATCGTACATTGTTGCGCAAAGGGCCCCAGTTCGCGGAGTGCATACGGGAGTCAGCGGTCGAAGGAGGGAGAGGAGATACCCCTAAGCTGAACTAAAGATTTTTACGAGTTGGCCCATAGCGAGTAATCAGGATGGTCTTTTAATTGCCAGCAATTTTTTTTAGCCACAGCCATACGGCGCTGCTGCCTAATTTTCAATTTTACGACATGGGAGCAGATACGGGCCTCAATGTAATCAGCCACAAAGTAGCGACATTTGAATTGGGAATTCGCCTTGCTTGATGCACCGACTTCCCTGGCTCGTTACACCCTTCGGGAATTCAATACTCGCCTTAAGTGGCCACCGTAATGCACTCCGCGTGCACTCAGTGTGCATTCCCTCTTACAATTCTACCTGATCGAATAACGAACTTCTAACGAGCGGACTGTAGAGCCGCAGTTCCTCATTGTCCACGAAAGACGATTAAAATTGATTTAGAGTGCGCCTTGTGCATTCGCCCTTTTCCACGACTCCTACGTATGGCTTATACATGGCCGTGTGACGTTTCCTTTGAAGGTGGCGCCAACGTGGCGAAATTCGGAGTTACGCGCTAACGAAACGCTACTGTGTTTCTTGTTAATTGTGTGCGTCTACAAATGCATTCTTCTTTGGTACTGTGATCCTCCTCCCCCCCCCCC